AGGCAAACAACTAGAAAAGGAACAGAATCATAAGTATGAAGATTGTTTGGTGGGTTATCAGCTGGGAAGGGGAATTTGGGAAAAGGTGCAGGGGTTAAAAAGTGTAATTGGCCCTGGCTGGTGTAGCTCAGTGGATTGAGCATGGGCCTATGAAGCCAAAAGTCGCCGGTTCAATTCCCAGTCGGGGCACATGCCTGGGTTGCAGGCCAGGTCCCCATTAGGGGACATATGAGAGGCAACCACACATTGATGTTTCTCTCCCACTCTTTCTCCTTCCCTTCCCCTCTCTCTAAAAATAAATAAATAAAATATCGTGTAACTGTTAGGTACAGAATAAACCAGGGGATGTTAAAAATGGTATAGTAAGTGAAGAAGCCAAATGGCTTATTTGCATGATCCATGGACATGAACTGAGGGGTGTGCTGCTGGAGAGAAGGGTGTACCAGGTGGAGGGCTGCAAAGGAAGAAAAATTGGGACAACTGTAAAAACATAATCAATAAAATGAACTTTAAAAATAGCAGTAAGAGAAAGATGGTTAGTTACCTATAAGGGAGCTCCCATAAGACTTCCAGCTGATTTCTTAACAGAAAGATTTCAGGCCAGAAGAGACTGGTATGAAATATTCAAAGTAAAAAGGAAGGACCTACAACTAAGGCTACTTTACCCAACAGGGCTATCATTTAAAATTGAAGGGTACATAAAAAGCTCCCCAGACAAAAACAGTCTAAAGGAGTTTGTTATCACCAAACCATCATGACAAGAAATGGTAAAGAAAGAAGAGAAAGAAGAAGGAAGGAGGAAAAAAAAAGGAGAAGGGGAAGGAAAAGAAGATGAAAGAGGAAAATACTTAAAAGAATAAAATGGCAATAAATATATATCTCTCAAGATCACTTTAAATGTAAACGCCTAAATGCTCCAATGAAAAGACATAGGGCAGCTGAATGGATTAGAAAACAAGACCCATACATTTGCTGTCTACAAAAGACCCAACTCAGAAGGAAAGATATAGACAGAATAAAAGCAAAGCTAGGGTAGCAATACTTATATCTGACAAAACAGACTTTAAAACAAAGGATATAGTAAGAGACAAAGAAGGACACCTCATTATCATAAAGGGAGCAATCCAACAAGAGGATATAACACTTACAAATATTTATGCGCAAAACACAGGAGCACCTATATATGTAAAGCAAATACTGATGGACATAAAGGGAAAGGCTGACAGGAACACGGCCATAGTAGAAGATTTTTAACATCCATAAACAAATAGAAAATTTTCCAGACAGAAAATCAACAGCAGCCTTAAAATGACACACTAGACCAGATGGATTTAATTGATATCTTTGGAGCATTTCATCCCAAAGAAGCAGAATACACATACTTTTCAAGTACTCAAAGGATGTATTCTAGAATAGAGTGCATTAGGACACAAAAACAAGTCAATAAATTTAGCAAGATTGAAATCATATCAAACATCTTTGCTGACCATTATGGTATAAAACTAGAAATCAATCGCAAACAAAAATGAAAAACACACAAACACTTGAGAGCTAAATACATGTTACTAAACAATAAGTGGGTTAACAGAACAAGGAAGAAACCAAAAGATACTTTGAAACAAATAAAAATGACAACACAACAACCCCAAAATCTATGGGACACAGCAAAAGAAGTCCTTAGAGGAAAATTCGTAGCATTACAGGCCTAATTCAAGAAACAAGAAAAATCTCAAATAAACAATGCAACTATACAACTAAAGGAACCAGAAAGGGAACAAAGCCCAGGGTCAGTAGAAGAAACAAAATAATAAAGATCATAGCAGAAATAAACAAAGTTTTAAAAAAATAGTACAAAAAAATCAATGAAATCAAGAGCTGGTTCTTTGAAAGATAAACAAAATTGACAAACCTTTAACCGAATCATCATGAAAAAGAAAAAAAACAGAACCCAAATAAATAACATCAGAAATGAAAGAGAAAGAGTAACAACTGATATCACAGAAATACAAAGGTTTGTAAGAAAATACTAGGAATAATTATATGTTAACAAATAGAACAATCTGTATGAAGTAGATAAATTCCTAGAAACATACAATCTTCCAAAACTGAATCAGGAAGAGAGAGTATTTAAATAAAATACAACTCATGAAACTGAAGCAATAATCAAAGACTCCAATGAACAAAAGTCCTGGACCAGATGTCTTCACAGGAAAATTTTACCTAACATTCAAAGAGGAACCAACACCTCTCCTTAAACTATTTCAAAAAATTCAAGAGGAGGAAAGACTCCCAAGCTCATCTTATGAGGCCATCATTATTCCAATTCCAAAACCAAATACACTACAAAGAACATTACAGGCTGATACCCCTGATGAATATAGATACTAAAATTCTCCAAAAAAAATCAGCAAACTGGATCCAGCGATACATTAAAAAGATCATACACCACGATCAAGTGGGATTTATCCCTGGGATGCAAGGTTTGTACAATATCCTCAAATTAATGAATGTAATACACCACATAAACAAAATAAAGGATAAAAACCATATGCTCATATTGATAGGTGCAGAGAAAGCATTTTTAAAATCCAGCACCCATTTATGATAAAAACTTTCAGCAAAGTGGAAACAAAGGGAACATACCTAACCATGATCAAGGATATATATGGCAAACCCACAGCCAACGTCATACTCAAAGGGCAAAAGATGGATGTCCGCTTTCACCTCTCTTATTCAACATAGTACTGGAAGTCCTAGCCACAGCAATGGCTAGGGATGAGCTGAACCAGCCATTGTTCCCTGCGACTTCACCATGGGACTGGCACACCGGTCACTCAGACATGGCTGTCTGGCACATCCTGAAAGTCAATGATGCCGAGTCTTGCACTTCAGGGGAAGGACTGGCAGAATTTGTTGCCAATGATAACATCTGAGCTTACAGGTGCAAGTTAAAGTTTGGAAAAACCAGTACCCTCCACCAGGAGGTAGAGTTTGTGTTTTCTGATGATGACAATGGTGGTAATATCAATGAACGTGATTTTTTTTATTACCTAATGAAATGTCAGTCTTTGGAGACCTATGTAACTCAGTGAACCAATATTTTCTAAGTGACTGATATATGATGTTCCAAACTCACTGGTAAAAGAGTCATTCAAAAAATAAGATAGGCCTGTGGATTTTAATCTAACAGAGTATGAAAATTCATTAATATGATTTCAGATACCCACAACTATCTGAAGAGGCTATTAAAATACTCATTTCTTTTCCATACTCCAATACTCTATGTGAAGGATTTTTTTCATATACTTCAACCAAAACAATATATCACAATAGATTGACTGCAGAAGATGTGAGAACGTAGTTGTCTTCTATTAAGTTGTACATTTAAGAGATTTGCAAAAAGGTAAAACAATACCATTCTTTTAACTAATTTTGTTACTTTAGAAAATAGTTATTTTTCATATAACATATGTCATTTAGATAAAATGTAATGGGCTTATTGTTGTTATATGCTTATTAAGTAATATATATTTTCCAATTATTTTTTTTAACTGAGCTGTAATTGACACATAACATTACATTAGTTTCCTGTGAACAAAATAACTTGGTATTATGTGTACACTGTGAAATGATCACCACAGGAAGTCTACTTAACGTGCATCACCTCACAGGGTTGAGTGTTTTTCTTGTGATGAGAACTTTTAAGGTCCACTCTCTCAGCAAATTTCAAATGTACGACACAGTATTGTTAACTAAAGTCACCACGCTGTACATCACATCCCCATGGCTCCCTTATTTGATAACGGAGAGTTTACACCTTTGACCATCTTCACACACAGATCACCCCCAATCCCCACTTCTCGTCTCTGGCAACCGCCAATCTATTTTCTGTATCTATGAGGATTTTTTTGTTAAGATTCCCCATAAGTGAGATCATATGGTAGTGGCTTTGTCTAACTTACAAAATAACATTTTAAAATTTCTGTTTTAAGTTTGAATACAGTAAACATATGTAGGTATAATCCACAAAAATAAAAAGTTCTTTGGGGTCCTCAATAATGCCTAAAAGGATGATGGAGTCCTGAGATCAAAAACTTTGGGAACTGTTACTCTGGAGAAACTTACACAAGTGCATACTGATTTGTACACAAAGATATCCACTCCAGCACTGTTTCAGAAATAAAAGTTAAAAAATAAAGACTGCTCAAACGTTTTTCAGAAATGCTGTCTGAATTCACGCTGTCTGCTCCCACCATCACTGCCTCCCTCGGCCACCACCTTGCATCCAGGCACTGCCTGACGACGCTGAAAACACACCTGCAGCTCAGTTCTCACAGCTGCAGAGTGAATGGGCCTCTGCGGCAGCGTCTACCTGACCGCCTGGCTCCTTGCTCCCTTCCAGGTACTTACCAGTTTAAATTCTAACTTCTCGACTCAACCCAACTTCAACCGAAAGAGCTTCTAAGTGAAACTTAATTTGTACAACAAATTCTAAGCTTTTTAAAAAATGATTTACAAAGACTCTACTTTCAGGGATCATTTCTATAGTTCGTTAAAAAATGGTTTACAAATCACTATGTTAAACTCATCCCACCAACAATCAGGAGTGGTAAACTGTTACTTTCCTTCCTTCCTCTAAACAGGGTTAAGTAGTTGAGTCTGAGACAAAGGCAGTTCAGTTCCAGTTTTGCAAAACCAAAGGAGTATTAAACTTTGGCCTGTATCCAGACTGGATATTTTCAAAACTAAGAAAAGCAATTAATCACAGAGCAACAGAAAAGTATCATGATTTCCCATTCACAAGCAGTAGAAGTAAGCTTTTATCCAGGCATGGAAATTGTAAGAAAACTTGGTTCCAGAAGGGTGAGCAGAAATCCAGTAGAGAAGCAGTAATTCATGGAGGAAGAGGAAAGAGATGGCACTCTGATCTTTCTGAAAAAGAGACTCAATGGCACAGTCTTTTCACACTTCTCTGCACTATCATATCACCTTATCTTTACCTCCACTACAAATGTGTCAATAATGTGCTCCTTGGGGAGGAACCAGTGGGCTACTTCTTCTTCATCCATCACTGGAGCAAGATGAAACCGCTTCAGGTAACTGTTGGTTAATTCTCGAACTGCTTTGATATCTCTTGGTTCCATTGGTCTTAAGCCTGAAGTCTTTGTCACCTTGTCAGAATGAAAACAAAACAAATTGAAAGTTTAAATATGGAGGAGTAAAACATACTTTACACTAAAGTGTGGTCTGCAGACCTGGCTGGTCTGCTTGTTAGAATTGCGGACTATGGGATCTGTGCCAGACTTACCAAGTCATAATCTGCTGGTTAGCAAGATTCCCTGGTGATTCGTACACACACTGAAGTTTGAGAAGCACTGAGTTAGAATATATGCTAGACAACATGTTGTGTCTTATCTTTGTGTGCCAGGTCTTTGGTGAATATTGCCCATGACCCAGACGAAATCAAAGGAACACTCCAAGTTGATCTATATACTTAATGGCAAGAATTCTAACAGCCTACATGACAGGGCAGAGCAATCTCACATGTGTTCTGGGCACTGTGCTTTACAACCGCCTTGTCTGACATTCTGAAAGCACAATGGAAAAAGTTCACACACTTATTTCAATGGTCTGTGAAAAGGATATAGCTGTTTGTTCTCATAAGCAACAAAAGTGAAATCCTATTATCAGAATGGGAAGGCAAGTGTTTAAATAGCCAAGATTTTTCTAAAGACAAGTGGCTGGCTCCCAAGAACTGGCCCTGGCCTCTCATGCTATCTTTTAAATAAAGGTGATTGGAATAGGTATTTGAGTTCATTCTTCCAAAGCATCACAATTTTTTCATTAAGTCACAGGAATAAAATAACCTAAAGGCCAGGACATTTGGATTTGCCCAACCTCCTGTCCTGAAAAGAGTTCCAGACACCACTTAGCTCTCTAGGCACTGCCTACACACCAGCACACCAGAAGTGAGGAAACCCCCTCCATGTGCTTGTTTGTACAAACAAAATACCAAAACCTTAGAAATGCAATTTCATTTTCCCAGTTAATTTGATTTTTTAAAGAAATATTAGATACATTTAAGTGGAAACTTGTATATAAACACTGCTACTCTACCTTTTCTGTCCTAATTATTTCTAAATATATTAAAAGCTGCGTCTGAAATTAGATCATTATGATCCCTGCATACTCAAGACTAGTAGAAAATAGGTTTTCATCTTGTGTGCTAGCTCTGCTTGATGATGGCAATTGTGCTGAGGTTTCCAAGGTTCTGTGACAAAGAATGCTGACTGATTATTGACTGGTGAGGGGAAGGAGATGGGAAATATGTTCTTTGCGTCTACAGACCCAGCAGTTCTTAGTTAAGTATTTACTAAGTAAAACTCAGTTGTGACTTAAGCAATCTATAAAGACACAGTTATGCAGCCAAAATAGTTTTATGGTCTAAATTGAGAGAATCTAAGTTCTTAACATTTATAATAATAGAGAAATCATAGTTTAGCTTTTGTGGATCTCAAAGTGAAAGGATAAGAAATCTCCAGGTCTTTGTTTCCATCCTAGGCTAACCCTTCAGGCAAGCAGGGCAATACCATCCTGAGTATGTATTGAATGAATGCCTGTGTTTTGTTCCACGATCATTTATAAAGTGAGGTGAAGGCTACAGACATGGAAAAAAGTCACTGTGGGCTATGAAAAGATGCTGCTTCTGTGGCTTGACATTTATATGCAAGCCAGGCGTGAAATTGCAATTTTATTCTGTTTCTCCTGAGTCAGTTTTAGTATTGGTAGAATTTTTATACTGCATTTCATGGGAAGAGGGAACCTACGTGTTTCTAAATACTGTTAAATGTAATGAACATGAATTTTGGAATGCTACTCAGAAGACCCAAAACCATATATGTTGCATACTGGAGTCATTAAAAAAGACTGTTTTTTTGCTATGAGGATAATCTTGATAAATTTTAAATAGCTTTTCTGAATGTTAGATTTTTTTCTTTTGTTACTGGCTCTGTAACAATCAACAATATCAAGCTATTAGATTAATCAATGAAAGCAATAGGATACACAATGTGTTAATACAAAAAATTCAGAAATGGAGAAAAGTCTTGCCAACTTCCTTCTAAAGCAAAAAAAAAATATATATATATATATATATATAATTTATATTTTATATTTTTAGAGAGAAGGGAAGGGAGGGAGATAGAGGAGGAGAGAAACATTGATGTGAGAAACACTGATTGATTTGCAGCTTCCTGACCGGGAACCGAACCTGCAACCCAGGCATGTGCCCCAACCTGGAGCCGAACTGGTGAGACCCTCTGCCCCCTGGCCTCGGTGTGGGGGACGATGCCCAACAAGCCGAGCTGCACCACCCAGGACTAAAGCAAACTATTCTTCTGCAGCACAGTTCCCATGAAGTCAATACTCGTAATACTGCCCAGTCACCAAACCAATGTACTGAAAGCAGCTGTTCTCAAGCTCAAATACTAGGCTCTGAAAAGTCATCGAGTACTTCCAGGGAGCTTTGCTAATGTGCTTATAGCCATCCACACTTGTCATGTTAGAAATTAGACATTTAAAACAAAAGAATATATATATCTATATATATATTGTACTCATACACACACACACATGAACACAAATGTCACACAGCCTGTGGGAAGACTTCATAGTACATTTGTAAGGTAATGAAAGTAAAAAGTGAAAACTATGTTTTAGTATTATTGTAAAAAGTGGGGACTTCTTGCAGTGCCTGAAAGGGCCTCAGGGACTCTGAGAGCTGCTATATCAAGTCTCCGAAGGCCGCAGACACAGGCAGTGGGATGCAGAGGAGGAACACTTGGGGAAATGTGTGTTTGGGCAAACAGACAGGGAGAAAATATATAAACTTAGCAATGTACAAGCACTTTGAGTTTTTACAGAAGCATTAAAGCAGAAAAGAACAACAGACAATGCCTACTATAAAAAATATAAGGCCCTAGAAAACAAGGGACAAATATTTACTTTACTGACCGACAATGGCTTATGTATCTTGGGGCCTAAACTTGCTTCTTTTTGACACCGTGAAGTCACATACTTTTCAAAAAGTCTGCAGAAGCATGAAGTAAATTTTAAAATGTAAAACAGAGACACTCAAATTATAGCTGTTGTCTTCAGAAGGTGATGGGAAGAACCTAAAACTTAGGTAAAAATGGTAACTTTGGCATAATCTGGAGTGAAGTGGTAATGTGCTCTGAGTATTCAATAAAAAGCAAAAAAAAATTTTCCAACAACTGAGAAAAATCTTAAATTTCATAAGCAAACTCTGTATCTCGATGAGACTTACTTTCCCACAGTCCAACTAGAATGCGTTCCTCACTGGACTCCATGTATATGGAAATGTGTGTGCAATCTGTGAATAAGGTCATCAGGGAACAGAGCTCAGAGTGCACCAAAAACAGAAGCAGTGCTGTGTGTCCAACTATGTGGCATGAATGTTGCAGGGGTGTCCAGCCTTTGGCATCTCTGGGCCACACGGGAAGAAGAGGAGTTGTCTTGGGCCACACATTAAATACACAAACAGCCCTGGCTGGCGCAGCTCAGTGGATGGAGCACGGGCCTGCGAACCACACAATCGAGGTTCGATTTCCAGTGAGGGCACATGCCTGGGTTGCAGGCCAGTTCCCAGCAGGGGACTCATGAGAGGCAACCATACATTGATGTTTCTCTCCTTCTCTTCCTCTCTAAAGATAAATAAATAAAATCTAACAAACAAATAAATACACAAACACTAACAAAAACTGATGAGCAAAGAAAAGGTTTTAAGTCAATGTACAGTTTTGTGTCGGCCGCATTCACAGCCATCCCGGGCCGCATGCAGCCCACGGGCCGTGGACTGGACACCCCTGTAAGCCAAGGTTCCAGAGTGAAGATGTAAGCAATGATTACAGTTATTTATTTGATTTTAAAAAGGAGCAGCAGGACAATAAACACTAAAAAAAATCATCTACGGCCAGTAAACCTAGAATACGTCATGTGTCTTAGCAAACCTTCATAAGCAGCACAGCAGGAATGCTGGGAGATTCATCTGACTCCTGCTCTTTGTCTGATTCCAATTTTCCCACTTTTAAGAGCATTGACCAAAAATCCCCCAACTTTCTTTTGAAATGCTCAACACCAAGTTAAAAACAAACCAACGTTAGGGTTGAGAAACACATTACTCTTGGAAAAAACCCTAGTATCTTAGATAGCAGTAGCCAATGGTGTGGGCTTTGGCTGTTCTTCCTGATGTTAATTTAAACCTCTGGGTAAATGAGCCTGGTGTTTCCACATCCTCTTCTGTGAAGTGGGGAAAATGACCTGCCCATCTATGATTGTTATGAATAATAAATGAGGCCAAGGAGGCACAATGTCTAGCATGATGCTGGCCACAATAAGGGTTATCTCATATTTAGGAGTTCACAAAGAAGGTAGAAAGCAAGCACAAGAAGCAAAAACAAGAATAATGAATCATAAAATAAGACATGCACAGAGCAAAAGTTGCATCCACTGAGGTTCTTCTCTTTGTGCTTAAAGACACAAAACTGTTCTAAAAAGACTTGACTGCTAGAGATGGCATCACCCCTCTGGGCTGCCATGGGAGGAGCAGGTGGCCTGGAGGAGCCGCAGTGTCCAGCTCCTAACTCAAGAGGTTGCCGTCGGCACCTTCCAATTTTCCGGTACAGTGGGACCTCAGTTCTCGCAATTAATTTGCTCTGGAAAACTGTTCCAGAAGTGCTTTGTTTGAAAACTGAATGTCCTTTGTTTGTCACCTGAGAGATGCATGACTGGTCATACAGGTATCAGCATGAAAGGGTTGTCAGGTAGAGAACCTGGACCCGAAGTTTTGTTAGACAATGGAGGCATTTTTCTTCTGTGAACAACTTAGAAGAGAATGGAATTGTTCAAGACCCAAGATGTTTGAAGTTTGACTGTATCTGTACCTTCATCTCTTCTACTCTTTTTTATTTCTAATTTATTCTTTATCTTTCTTCCCTTCTCTATGACTTAAAAGGGGGAGGGTAACTGGAACACGCCAACGAGAGCTGTCTGGACCCTAACATTGTCCTTTCCTATCTTAGCCTGAGCTCTAATGACTGTGCAGCAAGACAGTTGCTGGGCCTGGGCCATGACGCCCGCCCAACAGGTGTGTTAAGAGTTGATGGCAGAAGCAAAGGAATCTAACAAGCAAAACCTGGGATCTGGGGCCTGCATCCCAAGACCTCCACTTATGAATGACAGGCCCCACCTAAGTGTCAAATTCACAAGCATTAGTCTTTTCATATGAAAAATTAGGATAAGAAGTGCCAAATTCAAAAGGTTATTTTAAGAACATACTGAATAACATGTGTGGGAGTACTTTATAAACTTTAGTTCATTGGGGAAATAAAAACCAATGCCTGACCAGTGCCTTATTACCAACTGTTACCTCCCTGGACTGGTTCTTGTACAAAAACATAAAGGTTGATGGATACGGTCAAGCCAAAAATACTTTTAGCAGCTCTGATTCTAATTATCCTGAATAAACCAGTGATAAGTACTAAAACTCCTTATTCTTCATTCCATTTTGGGCAAGGTACATGTAAGTGGATACTTTCCTTAGCTACGGGCTAGACTGCCTTAGGTTCAACATGGTAAAACCTGGGGAGGCCAAATCAGAACAGCACTGGGCTCTAGTGAGGAAGGCAGGCATGCTTGAAGTTTCTAATTCAACTCACAGAAAGCAAAGCAGCTAACAACTGGTAAGGAAGACACTGAGAATAAACAGTGCCTACACAGGGCGTATTTCATCTCAGCGGTGCTGTGCCCTGTTTTTCTCACTGCCGTTTGTGCCCCTGTGACTCTGTCCCTCTTGACTGCTCTGGGTCTTGGCCATTAGCAGAAATTGTTTCTGGCTTCGACAGAACCCATACCTAATGACTGGCATGATGACAGTGTGACCTCTCTGAACATTTTCCTATTTTTTCATTTCAGAGCCCTGCCTTGAGAGGACTGCTGCTTCTTCCCCAGATTGTGTGGAGGCTCCTTCTTCATATCACTGCACTTTCTATATTACCATCTGCTCTGCTCTACGTTCCCCCTCCCTCCCTGGCCTCCCAGAGGGGCAGGGAGCTGATCAGTTTGAGCCCCCACTTCTGCAACAACAGCTAAGACAGAAGGGAAGAACGTTCCTACCGTTCCATTGGCCAGGTGGCGAAGCCCAAGAATGATGACCCCAGCACCTCCAACATCTGTTTCCTTCCCCTCCACTTCTCTCCTTATTAAATTCTGTCTCCAGTCAGACATAAGGTGATTCTCATTTATTATCAGAAAAACACCTCAATTCATGTAGCTACTGATTACACTCATTTGACAAACATACAACTGGCCAAAAGACAAAAGGAGCTGGAGTGTGCTGCACCCAGAACGGCCACAGGTGGGGCTGCCACCGCGTTCGAGAGGAGCATGGCTCCATTCTACCTGTCTCCCTCAACCAAGCTGAAGTGTGTACTAAGACTATGTTGTAAATATCCTCCAAGTAAAATAATTCTGAAGCAACCAAAACTCCAAATATCTCCTCTGTGGTGGACACACTCTAAGCTGGCCCCCAGTGAGGTCCACCTCCTTGTGACCCACTCTTCCAAATGAGGGTGGGACCCGTGACTTGTATGTAACTGATGAGATATGGTGACTGGACGTCACTTTCGTGAATTGGGAATAAGGTTCTAACGTCTCTCTTGCCAGGAGATTCTCTCTAGGACTCTCTCCTCATCGGCTTTGATGAAGCAAGCTGCCATGTTGTAAGCAGCCCCACGGAGAATCCCGTGTGGTGAAGAACTGAGGTCGGCTTCGCCTGACAGCCCAGAAGGAACTGAGGCCCTCAGTCCAGCTGCCCACAAGGAACTCAAACCTGACAATGGCCATGTGCACTTGGCAGTGGATCCATCCCTGTCAAGTTTGCAGATGAGACATGGCTGACACCTTGATGGCAGCTTCACGAGAGACCCTGAATCAGAGGCCTCGGCTAAGCTGTGCCTTCATTCTTGACAGATAGAATCTGGGAGACGGTGAATGTGTCATTTTAAACTGCTACATTTGCAATCACTTGTTACAGAGCAATAGATAACTAATACACTATCCAAACCAAGAATGGTAAACACATTTAAATTTTCACAATAGAATACTACTCTGCAATAAAAAAGAATGAATAACAAAGTAAAAAATATCTTCCTATTTACAACAACATGGATGGACCTAGAGAGTATTACACTAAGTGAAATAAGTCTGAGAAAGACAAATGTCATATGATTTCACTTATATGTGGAGTCTACAAACAAAAACAAATGGAAAAACAAAACAGAAACAGACCCACAGATACAGAGAACAGGCTGATGGTTGCCAAAGGGGACGGTGTTGAGGGAATGGGTAAAATAAAAAATATTTTTTTAAATGATAGAAACAAATGCATTTTCCCCTATTAAAACAGAGACAATTTTTTATATTGGGAATTTGCTACTTTAAAAAGGTGGTAACTTGGATTGAGCGCGGGCCTGCGAACCAGACAATTGAAGTTCGATTCCCAGTCAGGGCACATGCCTGGGTTGCAGACCAGTTCCCTGCAGGCCAGTTCCCAGCAGGGGACGCACGAAAGGCAACCATACATTGAAGTTTCTCTCCCTCTCTCCTTCCCTTCCCCTCTAAAGATAAATAAATAAAATATTTTTTTAAAAAGGTGATAACTTATTAAGACCTTATTTCCTCTCCCAGGTCTCTCCTCTAAACTTTACGCCTTAGTTCTATTGAGTTAAGATTTCATCAGAAGCCTGAAACTTTTCTTCCCTCTTCCTTAACAGACCATAAATACTCAAAATTCCAAAACTTATGTGTCTTGAGATCAAGCCCAAGCAACCCAAACTGAAGAACTTAAAAAGTCTTCAAAACAAACAAACTGGTATTTCCCAGTGAACTCCCTTACTTCTCCGAGCCCCTCAGTTCTATGCAGACCTTGCAGCTACCCAGTCATATCTTTAGACACATAAGTCAGTTTTTAAGACCCCTGCAAGTAATTCTTTTCTACATTAAAAGCTTCAGTTGTTAGTCTTGAAAAACTGAAAATCATTTTTACTTACATCTGGAAGTCTGTACAGCTTCATTGTTCTCTGTAAAGTCATGTTTCTACTCAAGTGAGAAAATTTCACTTCTACCAATTTTCTGGGGTTTAGCGATCGATGCCAGTATCTGGAATACAATAAAGGTTTGAAAATCAAACTGATTTCTAACTCTCCAAATCTTTACTCTGTCTTAGCTCAGCTGTGGTAGGACATTTAATGAACACTTACATTGTGTCTGGCCCATTGCTGGATGCTGGCTGGCTCTCTTCCAATGCAGTTATTTTATAAGGCCTTTTTACCTCTACAATATATCCTACATTCCTAATTATGTTTCTTTGCAGTTTGTGATCTTTCATCTTTCAGTAAAGAGGTATCTTAAAATTATAAGTCATAGTAATAATAAGCAACTTGCAAGTATTTAATAACCATTGCTGATTCTACAGAAAGCAAACCAAAAAGTTTAAAAACCTGAAAGTAGCCCTGGCCAGTGTGGCTCAGTTGGTTGAAGCATCATCTCATAAACCAAAAGGTCCTGGATTTGATTCCCAGTCAGGGCACATACCTCGGTCGGTCCCCGGTCAGGGCATGTATGAGAGGCAATGGATGTTTCTCTGCCGCTCTGCTGCCCTTCGCCCCTCTCTAAAATCAGTAAGCATGTCCTCAGGTGAGGGAAAAAACCCAAACATAAAAATATTCTCCCTAAAGTAGTAGCCTTCATGTTTATAACACAAACCCCCAAAAAACAGCTTTTTGAGAAACTAGCTTGAATTTCTTAAGTGACTCTAATTTATGTACTGTGATGAATGATTTCTATTAATATGTACTTGTGAAATTTTATTTACTATTTATTAATAATTTAATAGGACATAGTAATTTTACAGATTTATTTTTAATACTATGTCTACCTGATGTTTCATTTTACTTGAATCAATAAAAACAGTGGAGGGAGAGAAACTCTGATTCCTCAGAAATAGATTATCCAAGTGACAACCTGATAAACAACTTTCTCACTGGCTTAACCTTTGAAAGCTTGATAAGAGCAGAGAGAGTCATAAAAACAGAGCTTAAGCCTCTTGAACAAGCATGTCTGGGCTTTTCAACTGATGTTTATCAAACTTTTGGAATAGCACCGTAGAGCTCGGTATAAGACTGAGTGTTTAGAGAAGTGGAAAATGGTACCACTCTGGATATCTCCACCTCACGATGCCCTGGGTTTCCCCGAGGTGGAGACAGCACTGGTCTTGCACAGGGAGGACACTGCAATGCAGCTCCAGACCACTGGGGTACAAGTGGCTGCATGGCGCTGAAAAGACTGGGCTCACTGGTTCTTGCTTCTAGTCCCCATCTCTGCTACCAGCCAACTACATGACCACGGGTAAGCCAAAATCCCTCTGGCCAACATGTGAGGAGAATAATATTGTACTTCTAGCAACAGGGCAGGGAGGCTCAATGCTTAGGTGCAGGTAAGATGCAAGGTAAGGGTGTTGCTATTACCTGCATGTGGCCACTGGCTTAGGGAGAACCACACCAGCGGTATAAACAGCCTGGAAAATTCCTTCCAGGTTCACTCTTCTAGTTATTTCTCGAATTAACACTGGGGCAACCCGTTTGGATCTCAATTTCTTATGAACACAAAGAAAGTTGATTTCAACCATCTTCTTCACACTAAGAAATAAAGATGTCAAAAATCAGAGCAAATATAAGATGAAAACATCTTTAAATATAAAACAATACACATAAAATTTCAAAGAATAAGAAACTGAAAGTCCTCCTTAAATATAATATTTAAGAAAAGTATTAAGAAAAACATTCTATCATGTAGACATTTCACAAGTTCAGATCAATACACTATTTCCCATACACGTCTGACGAAATGATTATAACTCTAGATCACGGAGATACAATGTCCCTTTTCCCCCCAGAAATAAATCTGAAGCACCTATTTATAACTTTATTTATTCTGCTATACACACATATGCATGTATATATAATGTGTGAATATATACACAAAACATATCTGTGTGTGTGCATGTATGAGACTAAGAGACACAGGAAAAAAGAGAGAGTTGTCTTTTTTTGTTGTTCACAGGCCAATGTTTTTAAAAACTAATGAACTTTATTTCTTGGAGCAGTTTTAAGTTCACAGCAAAACCAGGCGAATGCACAGAGTTCCCATTTGCCTGTGGCGCCCCCCCCACTCTCTCTCTCTAGCAACAGCCCGCAGGAAGTACTTTTAAAAACCTATTATAATGACAATTCTTGAAAAAGCAACACACCAAAACTGACATGGGCGAGCTTTAATACGTACCTGTCATAAATCCGAATGTTGGCTGGAATGGCACTTATGAATCCTACCAGTTTTTTGTTTGAAGACACTCTGACTCCACAGTGCCACTGCAAAAGCCAGCCCGGGGGACGCAGAGCCCTGAAGGCAAGGAAAACAGGTGCCAGTTAGCGCCCTGGAACACAGCGACAGACGGGGCCATGCCAACCCCCACACTCTGCGGCTCTCCTGGCCCGCCCCAGACTCACCACAGCAGGAACTCCGGCGAATAGTCAAAGCGGAACATGTTGTCGTCATCCTCCACGTAATTCTCGTTTAACAAGGTGTACAACTCCTTGAGCTACAAGACCAAAAGGGCGTCCTGTCTATGGTGCTCAGAACCAACTCAGAAGCAATCCGCATGAACGCGGGTGTTGAATTTAAGACTTTTACTCACCACTTCCGCATTACCCAGATCTAAAGTGTCCCACATAAAACCCTGTGGCAAGGAATATGGTTCTTGACGCACGTTGTCTTTATCTGCTTCAATTGCACCATGAGACGTTATCACTTCATCTGCAGAGAAAGAGAAAAGGCAAAAAGAGGATATTCAGTTACAAAGCACTCCGACAACCCAAAATGGTCCATTACATACAACATAATCATATTTGGGGTCCACGGGTTTAATATAATCTTTAAACAATTCCTCACACCACAGTTCACACCTAGTCTTTAAAAATAGACTATTATTTCAGCTACCCGTAGAGTGAAAAAGGGTCGCTAGGTAGTGGTGGAGAGTAACTGCTACTTTCACCACTAAAAGGAGAAATACTCTGTCATGCAGTGACGAAGTGTATCGTGAATTGGTAGTGGTTTCCCAGTCTCAACCCTGAAATTACAGCACCATGGGAGACAATACAAGTCTGACAACAGACTTAGAGATGCTCCCTTTGTATTCTGCACTTCAACAAGCCAGGGGTGGGGGGTGAAAGGGGAGCTGGGGAGGAGGGCTGCAGGGATCTCTGACCCCTTCCAGCAAAATAAAAAATTTTAGTTTTGCTCATTCCCTCCACCCCTTAACCCCGCCCCCTGCCCGCTAGCTGTCACCTGATCTCCATCTATAAGCCTGTCTCCATTTTCCTCGTTAGACAGTTTGGAGAAAAAACACTCATGGACATGGACCACAGAGTGGTCCCTGCTGGGGGAAGTGGGGCACAGGGGGACTAGATGGTAATGAAAAAATGAAATAAAGATTAAATAAAAAAATATAAAACAGACACTATCTAAACTGAAGATGAGGCTTATCCATTAGGACTAAGATACTTTAAAATTAAACTACCTATTATTCCCTAGATGCATCTTCCCAGAAGCTGCTAATCTTTGCTACCATAATATTGTGACAAACTAGCAGTCATAAAGGCAAAGTTTAAAAAAATAAAACTGGAGAGTATAACTATGAGTGTGTGTTTACACAGTGAACCATGGATTCATGACCAAACATACTAAATTAGGAATTAAGTCTAAAATGTGTTGAACTATTCTAGAAACATAATAAACAATGAACCAAGAATATAGCTGAATAATCTGACACTATAATATGAAACCTTAAAAGTTCTATAACCTTATTTTTTAAAGATACTCAAAATATTCTATTTAACACTGAGTTTTCTTTCTAAAGAAAACAGGAGGCTCAAATATATGATACTCTCAGAAGTCAAGAACTATTGGTGCAAAATAAATGCCAAATTGTTGGCTAGTCAAATAACAAGTACCACTCATAGATTTTTAAAACTCATTCCTGCATTACTTTTAGCAATGGTACATGCAGAAATTACAAGGTGAACTAGAGGAATCATAAATTATATTTGGCCACAAAAACACAATTAAATAGTTGTGATCAAGGACTGAAAACATAATTATAGTTCAATACCAGAAACAAAAAAAGGTCCCACAATAAAAATTAAATTGTCTCTCCACCTGGATTGCTGGCAGAGGAGTTCAAGTCATCAACGTCTCTAGCAATTTTCCACAAAGGTGCACTTTTTCAATTTCTTCTCTGCAGCTTCCCAGTGTGGCTGGGATAAAACCCAGACACACCCGCTCTACCCAGCTCCCCAGGCTTAGCCACACTGACCGCCCTCAGGCTGGCCCCAGCTCAGGGTTGTGGCGAGGCCCTCCCCATGCTCATCAAGGGGCTGGCCACTTGAGTTTTTTTCAGGTACAAGCTTCCATGTATCTTGCCCTGACTAAAGCTTTTTCCTACCTAGAGAACATCCTCTCCTCCAACCCCTACCTGGCCACCACTATCCTACTTTCAGACCAGTTTCACCAGTACGTACCTCAGCATCTGGCACTTAATAACAGACACTCAACAAATCTCTCCTAAATATAACTCAGACAAGGAAAATGAAGGAAACCCTGCCATGTGCATAGCATGGCTGGACCATGAGGGCACTATCCTAAGTGAGATTAGTTGCACAGAGAAAGACAAATATATGATCTCATATGAGGAATCTTAAAAAAAAAAACAGAAAGAAAAAAAAGATGGAGAAAATAGATGGCTCTGGTGGCCATCAGAGGCAGGAGGTGGAGGGTAGGGAAGTGGGTGAAGGAAGTCAAAAGGTACAAACTTTTGGTTATGGTAAGTAAGTCCCGTAACGTACAGCATGGTCACTATCATTAATAAAACTGTATTGCATATTTGAAAGTTGCTAGACAATAAATTTTAAAAGTTCTCATCACGAAAAAATTCTGTAACTGTGGTGACAGATGTTAACTAGACTTACTATGGTGATCATTTTGCAATATAGACACATATTGGAACATTATGTTATAAAACTGGAACTAACATAATGTTGTATGTCATTTGTACAGATAATAAAACAAACAAAAAAATAAAACCAGGAGGAGGGGGAGCCCTGGTCTCTGCTGATTACAAACAACCCTCAGGTTCTTACCATCACAGACCTTTTGATAGATGGAAATCATGGTGTTTGTACCAGCTCCAAGGGGTTTCCTTTTCTCTTCTTTCTAAACCCTGACTTTGTTTCATTCACCTTATCTCCACTCTACTAGCTCATCTCCATAGGAATGCCTTAGGCTTCCTTAAGTCGACCCAAGTGGCAGATTCCCAGCTGCTCCCTTAGACTCCCTTCAGACCTTTGCTTAGGGCTTCCCCATCCACAGGGGACTGTCCCATTCAAGCAGCTGCAAAGAGCTGATTGTGTTTAGACTGAACTGGGACATAGCTCTGAGAGAAACAGTCTCCCTGACTTTCACACATTCTCCCCTACCTCAGGCTCCCTCTTCAGTACCAGGGGTTCTAGGAACAAGAGAACCCTGCGAGGATTTAGGGGAGCGGACCCAGGCTACCTTCCCAAAGAGGTGTACTGGGGTTAGGGGCCCTGCAGATGGCTTTCTTCTCCCCAAGGCAGTGACCTAAAAGCTACCAACAGCTTGCCAAGCAGCATTCAGCCAAACCCATACATTCAGATCAATAAAACACATCCTTTTAGCTAACAGTCACTCAATTCAATGTCATTTAAAATCCTGTAAATTCATTTCAAGAGAGTCTTCCTCCATTACCATATACACTTCTAGAGCCTCAAAGAAAAGGGAAGGAAGAAAATTTCCTTCCTTCACACTCTGAAACTATTCTTTTTAAGCTGCTTGCGGTGGGCATGGGTGGGAGACAAATGGTAACTTCAAAAAACTTTGCAAACCATTATTTGAAGGCACAGAGAAGAATTCTTCCCTAATTCATAGAATAAAACAGATCATTTGTACATAACTGGGCAATTAAGAATTTTAGATGGCAATTAATCATTTATATTACACGGATTCTGGAACCCAAACCAACCAGAAAGAAAAAAATAGAAATAACTGAGACTCCTGGTCAAGGTGGTAGCATAGATAAACACAGCTCACCTCCTCACACAACCACATCAAAATTATAACTAAATTATAGAACTACCATTATTCAGAAGTGGCAGAAACTGAGATGAATGGAAGTCTGACAACTACAGAAGTAAGGAGACCACAACCATCCAGACGGGTAGGAGGGGCTGAGATGCAGAACAGGCTGGTCCCACATATGCATGTGGTGGATAAAAATTTGGGAGGGATATCTTAAGAGTCAGGAGTCCCAGCCCCACACCAGACACCCCAGGCCAGGGTTTGAGTGTCAGGGAGATAAGTCCCCATAACTTCTGGCGGCAAAAACTAGTAGAGATGGAGTTGGTGGTAGAAACTTCTGGAGCTTTAAGCAGTTCCTCTTAAAAGAACCCACACATGAACTTACTCGGACTCTTTCCCTCTGAGCTCCAGCACTGGGGTAGCAGCTTAAAAGGCACCAGCACCAGTGGCAGACAGGGAGGAACTGAAGTGTCTGGCATCAAGGAGACAGCTGGGGGACAGCTTTCTTCCAGACAGAAAGGTAGGAAGAACCAGAGCCAGCAGGTAGGTACCATATCTGAGACTCCACCAACCTGATTAACACTGCCCAACCCTGGAGATCCCCTGAGACTCTGTCCCACCCAACTTACAGCTGGTAACAGAATCTTTTCCATATGAATGGCTAGTCTTGGCTTAACTACACAACTTCCTAAATCCTCTCAAATAAGCAACAGCTGGCCTCAGTGAGCCCAGATCCCCCAGCTCCTGTACTTCTTGCTAAGTGGCCCCAGGCACAGCACTAGCAGCAGTCAACCTACATTCATAGTTTGGCTTCGCATGGGAATCTCCAAGCACAGCACAAGTAGCAGCCATCCCAGATTGCTTAATTATAGCTCAAGCAGGGTGCCCCAGGCAAAACACAGGTGGGGGATGACCTTGGCCTATACCACCTGGGAAACCCTAGGACTTGTGCACCCAGCAGCCAGCCACAGACCATGTCAAGCACCACCACCCTGCCCCTACACAGCTGATCCTCCACAAAGAGCGGAGATTGGTAGTCGGTGGTCACAGCCAATCTTTGCAGCTGAATGGCCTGGCTAAGTCCCTCCCATTGATCTGCCAGCAGCAACCAAGACTTAACTACAAGAGAAGGGTGTATTCAGCCCACATGAAGGGCACTCCCTGAGTACCCAACTTAGGTGATAGGGGAGGCCGTGCCACTGGACCACACTACTGAACCACATAAGGCCACACTACCAAGACAGGGAGTCACAGTAGCTCTACCTAATACACAGAAACAAACACAGGGAGACTGACAAAACAAGAAGACAAAAAAACATGGCCCAAATGAAAGAACAGATCAAAACTCCAGAAAAAGAATTAAACAAAATGGTGATAAGCAATCTATCATATGCAGAGCTCAAAACATTGGTTATAAGGATGCTCAAGGAACTTAGTAAGGACCTTGAAAGCATAAAAAAGAGCCAGTCAGAATCCAAGCATACACTAATTGAAATAAAGAACAATTTACAAGGAAACAGAGTGGATGAAGCTGAGAATCAGATCAATGATTCGGAACACAATGAAGCAAAATACAACAAATCAGAACAAGAAGAAGAAGAAAAAAGATTCCAAAAAACAAGGTTAGTATAAGCAGCCTCTGGGACAACTTCAAGAGGTCCAACATTTGCATCACAGGAATACCAGAGAAGAAGAGAAAAAGCAAGAAACTGGAAATCTATTTGAAAAAATAATGAAACGAAACTTCCCTAATTTGTTGAAGGAAACAGACATGCAAGTCCAAGGAACACAGAGAGCCCCACACAAGATGGATGCAAAGAGGCCACTCCGAGACACATCATAATTAAAATGACAAAGGTTAAAGATAAAGAGAGAATCTTAAAAGCAGCAAGAGAAAAGCAGCTAATTACCTACAAAGAAGTTCCCATAAGACTGTCAGCTGATTTCTCAAAAGAAACTTTGCAGGCTAGAAGGGATTGGCAAAAAATATTCAAAGTCATGAAAAGCCTGGACCTATAGCCAAGATTGCTCTACCCAACGAAGCTATCATTTAGAATCAAAGGGCAGATAAGGAGCTTTCCAGATAAGAAAAAACTAAAGGAGTTCATCATCACCAAACCATTATTATATGAAATGTTAAAGGGACTTATTTAAGAAAAGAAGATCAAAACAATGAAAAACAAAATAGCAATAAATATACATCATCAACAATTGAATCTGAAAAACAAACTAAGCAAACAAGAAGAACAGAGACAGAATCACAGATAGAGAACATTTTGATGGTTGCCAGATGGGAGGTAAGTACAAGAAAATGGGTGAAGAGGTAAGGGAATGAAGAAGTACAAATAGGTAGTTACAGAACAGTCCTATATAAAGTACAGTGTAAGAAATAAAGTAGCCAAAGAACTTATATGACCCATGGACATGAACAGTGGTGTGGTGATTGCCTGAGGGAGTGGGGGATGCTGGATGGAGGGGGACCAAGGGGGAAAAATTGGAACAAGTGTGACAGAATAATCAATAAAATACAATAACATTTTTTTAAAAGTAGAAATAATTATATAATGAGATATCATTGTTTAAAAATAAAGCAAAGCAGCAGATTTAGCTTTAATATATTTATAAACATTTATGTGGCATTCATATCATCCTTTTTTTTTTTTGCATAATGTGAAAGGGGAACAATTAAATGGCATTTATTGAAACTGAAGCAGTAAAAGTCTAAGTGAAATGTCCCAGGGTAGGCAAAGTGCTGAGGAAAGAGGCCTATTATAAAGGTTCTTTCCTAACCCAAAGTCCTTCATGAGGTGCCCAATTCTCTTGTTATAATGGAATACTATCACACTGGTTATAGTCAACACCACTAGTGAGTGTTTAGGGTCTTGGTGTTAAATTGTGCAAAATTTTCCATTTTGGTAAGATTTCATAGGTCAAATTTTCTGTCTTTGAGAATAACCGAGATGTGAGACTGCTAAAAATTCATGTATAGGAAAAACAGCTCCATGAAGCTCAGAATAAAAAAAACAGGGTGTGGGGGAGATGCCTTCTTTTATAGGTTTTTTAAAGATGCTAATGCTTCAAGTAAGAGAAAACTGGATTTTTTTATAGGGGTAGAAATTGGATTAAAATTGCTCTTACTGAAGGCCCTGGCTGGTGTAACTCAGTGGATTGAGCGCGGGCCTGCAAACCAGACAATCGTGGTTCAATTCCCGGTCAGGGCACATACTGGGGTTGCAGGCTGGTTCCCTGCAGGCCAGTTCCCAGCAGGGGATGCATGAAAGGCAACCATACATTGATGTTTCTCTCCCTCTCTCCTTCCCTTCCCCTCTAAAGATAAATAAATTAAAATAAAAAAAATAAATAAATAAATTGCTCTTACTGAAAACCAATGTCACTACCCAATACATATCTATATTTTAAGAAGGAAAGTATTATGTTTGTGTAAAGTTCTAATTGTGGTCTGAAACAAGTTATAAAAGAGAAGTAAAGCCTCTTTCGTATTTTTTGTTTGTTGTTAACCCAGCTTTGTTTGGGGAGGTGGGGAGGCAGAAAAGCTTACTTAGTTTGGGTACCGGCTGTGTGTCCCAAAACTGGTATCTGTGTTTGGCAGCCTCATCGATGTTCCTGGCGGGGCCCTGGCACGCCGATAACAGCTCCATTGCTCTCTGGATATCCTGCAACTTCTGCATTGGAATGGCAGGATTCTATAACAGCAAAGACACACAGACACGAACTATGAGGAAGCTGCCACCGCTCCAAAACCTGGGGCGGAGACATGTGCATCTATCTGCCTTAGAGACTACAGCACCAAAAATTGAACAGTCCTCCTCTAAGCCTGGTCAGGGCCTTGGGTTCATGTATGCTAACACATTAAAATATAAGCAAACATATGATGTTAAAGATAACCATAACTCTATAGTTTTTCTGGGGCTGTGATAGTTCAGAGAATTTAAGGTAAATCGAACTACCCTTTGCTTTAGTTTCCCACCCATAGGCAAATGGTCTCCACCATGACTCATCTGAGCGGAGCAGCAAAAGGAAGTGACATGCAAAGCATGCATACTGTCGCACCAGCCAGTTAGCCACTAGCCTCAGTTTCATTGTTAGGGTTATGCTCTGCAGTAGCAATGTGGGGACAAGGGAAATAACTTCCAGGATGGGAACTAGGCAGACAAGGGAAATTTCAGTTCATTAAGAAGAAAGAAAGAAATCTGAATTTAGTGCTGAGCTGGGAAGGCAGTGGATCAGGAAAGGAAACCTCTAAGGATGCCTTCCTCTGGGGCCACCTCCTCTGTCTCCTAACCCGGGCCCCCCCCCCCCCCCCCAAGAAATAAACCTTCCAACAGGGACCAGCAGTTCCCTCTGAGCTCAACTCCTTGGCAGCCCTGGCCTGTTCTCCCCAACCCAAGTGTTCAAAACTAACTTCCTTTTTAAAATAAAATACATTCTCACTCTATAAAATTGAGACTACCTTTTAATTTATAAAGTTCCTTCCTCAAAGCCAATATTCCTGTCATCAGTGATGATTCCCCAGCTCTTTTTTCTTTTTAAATCCCTCAAATTAGGTCATACTGCATGGAAAATGAAACTATCCTGGAAATGAGGGACTGAAACTGAAAAATGGTGAGTTTTTTCAATACACAAAATTACTGATTAGTGTTAGCATGTTGATGCCATCCAAAGAATGCTCTTCACGGCGGTTCAAAGTGGTCAGAAGGAATCTCAGAGCCCTCGCGCTTCCTGCAGCCAGCACACCATGGGCAGTGAGGAGAAGGGCCATCGGCCCTCGACAGTCTCTAAGCAGCAGCTCTGAACTTCTCAACTTGGACCCTTAATAGTGTGATCTGGGGCAAATCTTTTAACCTGGAAGCTCAACTTGTTTGGCCAGGTACAAAACAGAGTTATTTAACACAGACTGTCCTGTGGATGCTTTACTCACTGGGCTCCCTGAGGATTCTTGCCACTAAAATGATTCAAGGAAACAAAGCGCTGGAGTTCAACCAGGGGTAGGTTAAAGTCTACTGTCTCCCCTCACAAGTCCAGCAGAATCACCCGGGGCTGCCGCAATTTCTGTAAGCTGTTTATCTCCTATTTTGATTGAAGTCCAAATTGTAAGGGTCATATCTCCATTACACATACTCAATTAACAAAATACTTCTGCTGTTCTAAAAAGGCTAGTGCATTTTTAAATTTCCATTTGTGTCTCTTTTGAACCTCCAACATAAAATTAACTGGTTTCTAGCAAAATGAAACTTACATCCAATTGGAGCCCCCCAACACCATCTGTTAGGACACCTACACCTCGAACAGGAAGCATATTCCCACTAATCACGTTTGAACCCTCATCCGCCAATCTTGAAAAATGGAAAGCAGAACCCACTCTCTCAGAAATACCCCTACAGTGTCTGCACTGAATGTGTCATGGTAATTCTTCTTCCCTAACAGGCGTTAAGTCCTCTAACACTAATATCTCGAAACTAAACTATTTTGTAACAAACACAAATCAGCTTGGTGCCAAAGGAGCCAATGACATCCCAATCCGAGGAAGGGGCACGCAGAGCGCTTTCTGCTTGACTTCCTTAGCCTTGACAGGTTGACCAGCAATGTTTACACAAAATCACCATTTATACACTTACATCCCACTGGGACTAGTTTATATCCCAATAGCATATAACTAATTTAAATGCTTTCTAGAAGTAGTTTTGAGTAAGCAGAATTTTCAAATCCATGTTGACAAGGCAGAAGGAAAACTCAGCTATGATAAATTCTTAAACCTATCCATCCACCTTCAGTAGTAGCACCACCTGGGGAGAAACAGATAGTGTTAGGAAAGGTGAGAATGTACACCAGCTCGGCACGAGCTTCCCACTACATATTCCTATTAAAGAGTCAGGCAGGCCTCTTTTCTTCCATATCTGCCACTTGTGATCTAAGTACCTCAGCTGTTCTCTTTACTCATCATTTCCCAAATTTAATACTTTGGAAATCCACAAGAGTCCAGACAAATACTTCATTTTGGTTTTTTATTGTACACTAGAATATTCTCTAAACAGTGTCCACTATAGCCTGGCTGGGTGGCTCAGTTGGTTGGAGTGTCATCCTGCACACCAAAAGGCTGCGGGCTTGACTCCCGGCTGGGGCACATACCTAGGTTGTGGGTTTGATCCACCCACTGGGGTGCACGCAGGAGGCAACCTAGCGATGTTTCCCTCTCACGTTGATGTTTCTTTCCCTGTTTCTCTCTCTCTCTCTCACTCCCCCCTGCTTCCTCTCTCTCTAAAATTAATAAACATATCCTCAGGTGAGGATAAAAAAAGCAATAAACAGGGATCACTATAATATATGGTGTTATCTAGAGCTGGCATCAGCTTAAAAGAAAGGAGCTTAAGTTTTTAAAAAATATGACAGAGAATAGCCCATATTAAAACTATTTTAACTTATTCTTAATAAAAAAAGAAAATAATTTTTCTACCACATAACACTAACAGTTTCTCCAGCCTTGCTTGGCTCTAGTTTCTTGTAAGTGCCCAGAAATGGGAGGGGTTAAAAATCACCAGGTGTTACAAAGACAGCAGAAGCTGAGGGTGACAGCAGAAGCAATAAGGAAATGGCCACAACGGAATGTAAGTGACACCTCACTTATCTGATGAAGCAACGTTTAGAAATGGAGAAAGAAAATCTTGCAAGCTTATGGTGTACCTTATATGAGTTACCTTGGAAATTATGTCCGGTGGATAGAATATTTATTACCTGAGAACCAAGGTGAAAAGCTAAGGAGGAAGACTCCATTTTCTTCTCACCCCACAAAGGCAGTCAAGGGAAAATTGGGGCAAGTAATTTTCCTTCTCAGTGATTCCTGGTCCTTATGTGTAAAACAGGCGACAATAACAAAACTACCTGCAAGATTCACTTCATGCGATACATACAATGCAAACTTTGTACAAGAAAAAATTTTAATTCCACGAAACTTGCATAATAGTTATAACTGCCATGTAGACAGAGTGCTTTACAATACAAAAACCATTTAATAAGAATGATCTAATTGTAGACTCATAACAACCCTGCAAGTTGGGGAGAAGGCATCGTCCCCACTTTGCAGAAGGGGACACAGGCTTAGAAAGGCAGAATCCTGTGCAAAGGCCAAGCTCGAGAGCCATGGGGCCAGGTGAGAGCCCAGGTTCCCCACCCCACCTCCTGAGCCCTTCACGTGACACATACTACAAGCATCAGAACAACTCTATTTCATTAAACTTCTACTTCAAACCCTTTTTGCTGTGAGTGTTGTTGCACGAAGTAGGCTCTGTGCTTCCCTGGGCCCAGCACACAAGGCCTGTGCCCACAGCTGGGGTGACTGGGGTTGGCCCTACAGAAAAGGGGCGCCTGCCGTCTGCTCCACCAATCTACCAACAGTGCCCAGCCAGATAACTTCTGGTTTGGTTTAAATGGGTGTTTCTTCAGGGGAAACATCAGGAGCTAATTCCCACCCCTGGCAATGGAATTAAGAATGGCCACCGAAGACTGGACTGATTCAAAGTCAATGTAAGACTTACCCGTGGCTGCTCCCGCTGAAATCTGCTGCCAGATGGTGTTGTGCTATTCAGATAATTAGACAGACACCCAGAAAAATTAAAATGTGAATATCTTCTAAACTAAAAGTCATCAAATATTAAGTGTAACTTCAAAAAAACCCCTAATAACTCACATTGAAACTTGGTTCTATGATTACAATCTGCATACTAACTTACTGAGAAATACACAGGTGGCGTCCTAGCACACCCAAAGGCACAGCATGTACCTCTTAGTTACTGGGTGCTGACGTCGACCTAAGGCTGTAAGTACCCTCCGGTTACTATCAGTGCGGTCACAGCAAAACCCTAACTACTCCGCTGATCCGACAAGGGCTAAACTGCACAGGCCTGCTCTCACATGCATGAGCAACCACACGGACTGAAATAAACACGGCTCTCACTTTTGAAGGCTGTTGAATCTTGATCTCCTGGGAATCAGATGCAGAATCTGACTTGGTGCCTCCAGAATTCGGTTTCTCCTTTTTTCTCTTCTGTTTCTTCTTTTTCTTTTTGGCACCCAAGTCGCCTCTGGGACTTCTGTTAGGGAATTCACAAAGGGTAAAACAACAACAAATCATTATATAAAATTAATCATTTAGAACAAAGTGTGCCACACATAGAAAAAACACTATGTTAGGATGTATGATACTGTGATTTATAAGAAACATATATATTTGATCATACAGATGACCAAGTACATATTTCTAATATATATTTGGTTTTCATTAATGGTTCCTGGCTGACAGCTCCTGAATCCCTTGGAATTTCCTACATGATAAGAGCTTAAAGATGTCTCTTATGTCAATGAGGTGACTTTTGGAAGCACCTGAGGGATGGCTGCCAGTAGAACCAACCATGTGAATAGACGGTTGGAACTTTCAGTGTCAACCCCCAACCTCTGGGGATGCGAGAGGGGCAGGAGAACAGCTAGTGATTTCATCGCTCAGGCCTGTATGAAGAAACTGTCATAAAAACCCGTAAGGACAGGGTGTGAGGAGCTCTCAGGGTGGCGGGGGCGCTGGGGTGGGAGGGGCGTGCCTGGAGAGAAAATGGGAGCTCTGTTTGCTTCCCCGTGCCTCACCCAGTGCATCTCTTCCACCTGACGAGCCTGAGTTACTGTATTTTGCCATGTACAATGCACACTTTTTTGCCCAAATTTTTGAGGGGAAAATAAGGATGCACATTATACATGGGTAGTACTAATCTGTATCCATATAAATGTTTTTATCTCTTCTATTTGTGCTTATGCATTAAAAGTGTAACTCTAGAAAGCAATAATGGCATCTGTATGCAAAATATCCTGGAATATGATAATCAGTTTTATTTCTAAACATAAATACATTTAAAAAGTGAATTAAAAAATTAAAAGAAAAAATTTGCGTCCTGAAAGTTTGGGCCAAAAACATGGGTGTGTATTATACATGGCAAAATGCAGTATACCCTCTGATAATACACTAACGGTCTAGTAAGTAAAAGGTTCCCTGAGGTGTGTGAGCCACTCCAGTAAATTAATCTAACTTAAGGAGAGGGGATCTTAGGAACCTCTGGTCTGGCAGAAGTGGGTGTAAAAACCTGGGCTTGGGACTTGTCTGAACCCTTACCCTGGGAGATCTGAGGCTGTCTCTGGGTAGACAGAGTCAGAATTGAGCGGAATTCTCAGATACTCTACTGCTGCCTGAGAACTGCTTGGTGTTGTATGGGAGGCGCCCCGCCGCCACACGGTCACATCCGAATTGGGTCCAGGAACCCAGAATAGGTGTAAGTGGGAAATGAACTTCAGTCAGACTAGGAAATTAACAGGACAAGTAACTCGGGAGAGTATTAGTCTGCATGCAGTCATCTTGCAGGATGCTTAGATGTCATCTCAGCAGGAAAATCGTAGATATAAACCACATTTTATGACAGAAGTCAAATTGCTTTCACAGTCATCACTGCTGCACTGATCTACTTCTCAGTCAGCTTTTTAAAGGGAGAGATATATGTTGTAAAAATTCCATTATAAATATCTCTTGGGTAAAACAAACCACTAATCTTGATACAATAGAACCAAAGAAACTGCTTCTGCGCAGAGGGGGCAATTTTTCTTGAATAAAACTTTTACTAAATGGATTAGCAATAAAAAAACTCTACAGGAAAGAAAAAAACATTCACTGGTAAAACACTTCTGTTTGGAACCCTGCCATCTCCTGACGAGCAAACAAAACATGAGATTTTTTAAACTTCCACTCATTGGGGCCTGTCCTTGCCTATGCTTAGGAGGTAAATTAAAATTTAGAGTCAGACTATTTTTGAACTTCTGCCTGATGTAGGGGAAGGTGATAGAAATAATCAGATCCATTCCATGGTTCTCAATTAGCTATACTGGTCCATTATCCTTCTTGAATTTTTACCTAATTATAAAAATACATATTCATTATAGAAGATACACATGTCATTAATATTTTAACATCCTTCATATAGCATTGTCCCTTAAAGACAAATCAATAGTTGTTCTGGTATATATTCTAACTTTGTCTTTCTTCTCTAAGGATGCTTTCATTTTTATTATAAATAAGTTTTAAGCAAATGGTGAATCCTAAACATACCATTTTGAAACTTCTTTTTTTCTCCTTCCACTTCACAATATAACTTCTTTTCATGTCACAATATATTGAGCCACCTCATTTCTTTTTAGCTACTGGGTGGTATTCCATCGTGTAAATATATCATACTTCATTCCTATATTAAAAGTGCTCCAGCCCAAAAATATTCTGGTACTTACATCTTTGTTCATTCATGATAGTATGTCTGAAGGTAGACATGCTAGGTTAAGGGGCGTGTACAGTTTTGGTTTTCGTAGACAATTGAGACTGCTTTAATGAATACTGTACCAATTTCCACTCCACCAACAGTAAATTGGACAGTTTCTGGCTCTGCATGGAAGGAGCTCGAAGTCATCATTTCATCCTAACAGACTGAAAAATCAACATTCTTTAACGTGTAGAAAGGTGGCACAGGAAAACTGCTGCCCCAAAGGCTGCAGGGACGGAGAGGCAAACAGAGTCACAGTCCCAGCAGCGGAGACTCGCCAGCTGAAACCAGCACAGGAGCCACTACCTGGGCATGAACACCTCGACTGCACCTGCAAGACTGCACGTGGACAAGCCTGAGAGTAAAGCAGTCCAGGGGGGCCCACCAGAGGGGTCTCCCACCCTTTTTTGAGTTTTACTTTCAGGAGCCCAAGAAGGTTCCCATAGTAAAGATTGGAGAAAAGTCCCCTTGGGCTTCCACCAAGGGACAGGGAAAGAGAATCATTTGGAAATAGCCAGAGTACTCTGTTCTTCCTGACAAGGTTTGCCCTCAGGAGAGACCAGCCAACCACAGCTTAGCTGGCTGGCGGATTATCAGAGCCTAACTGACCTGGGGAAGGAAAATACCCAACTCCAGCCCATTCTAGCCATTCTGTGCCAGTTAAGGGGGCTGGAGAAAACTGAGAAATGCTTTAGTGAGGCACAGCCTCACTAAAGGCTAGGGCCTGATCACAGAACTATAGAACACGTCCCCTCCCCCCACACCTCACCACCACTAAAAACCTATTTATAGTAGTTCCTTTACTCAGTATATCATGTCCAGCTAACAAGAAAAAATTACAAGGCATACTCAGAGACCAACAATACAACTGGAAAAGACAAAGCAAGCATAAGAACCAGACATGGCAAGGATGTTGAAATTATCAGACCAGGAATTTAAAACATCTATGATTAATATGCTAAGGGCTCAAATGGACAAAGTAGACAGCATAAAAGAATAGATGGGCAAGGTTAACACAGAGATGGAAATTCTAAGAAAAAACCAAAGAGAAATGCTAACGATCAAACAAACTGTAACCGAAATGAAGAATGCCTTCGACAGGCTTGTTAGCAAACTGGGCACAGCTGAAGAAAGAATTTCTGACTTACAGGACACAGCAATGGACATCTTCACAGAAAACTCCCAAACTAAAAAGCAAAGAGAACAAGGACCGAAAAAACAAAACAGAATATCTAAGGACCATGGGATACCTAAAAAGGTATAACATACATGTAATAGGAATAACTGATGGAGAAGAAAGAGAAAGTACAGGTAAAATATTTGAAGCAGTAATAACTGAGAATTTCCCAAAATTAATGTAAAACATCAAAACACAGATCCACAAAGCTCAGAGAACCCCAGACAGGATAAATGCCAGAAAAAAATCCCCCCAAACAATCAAACAAACGAACAAACAAAAACAACAACCCTACACCTAGGCATATAATTTGAGACTACAAAAAAATCAAAGATTAAAAAACATCCTGAAATAAGCCCAAGGGGAAACTAGAGGAGGCAGAAAACACTTTGCCTAAATAAAGGAACAAAGAACAGTAAATACAAATGTCAATTTCCCTACTTCTTTGCCAGCACTGAAATATTACCATTCTTTTTACCTCCTGCCCACAAGTCTTTTTTCTTCTCCCCTCAAGTCTTTGGGTAGGGAATAAACTTGTAGCTTTAATTTTCTCTATTTAATCAGGTGTGAGGGTACACATGCTTATCGACCATTTATGTTTGTCCATGAATTGCTCAGTCTTATCCTTTTTCTCTCAGCCATCTTTTAAAAAATTGATCTGTAGGTGCTCTTTATTAAAAGCATGAATAGAATCTATCATGTATTAGGTGTTTTTACTTTGGGCACTTTAAACTCATTCAACCCTTGCAACAGCCCTTGGAGATACTACTTTTTGCTTATATTACATTGTCTAGTTTGTTGTGTATTACTGAGATTACAAATACTTTACCCAGTTTATTTTTTAGCTTTCAGCTTTACTTATGATATCTTTTCCTGTACAGACATTTAAAATTCTTATAGAGTCTAACACTTACATACTTCCCCTTGTGGCTTCTTGGCATTTAAATCTTGCTTAGAAAGGCCTTCCCTATTCCAAAATTACATAAGCACCCTTCTGTACATTCCTTTCTATATGACTTTTGGAAAAAATATTTCACCTCCTAATTCACTTAGAGTAAAGGGTATATAATGTGAGGTATCGTGTCATTTTTTTTTCTTTTATTGATTCCAGAGAGAGGAGAAGGGGGGAGAAAAAGAGGGAGGGAAACATCACTGTGAGAAACACTGACCAGTTGCCTAGTGAAGAGACCCTGGCCAGGAACCGAACCCACAACCCAGGCATGTGTCCTGACTGGGACTCAAACCTGAGACCTTTTGGTTTGTGGGATGGCCCAACTAACTGAGCCACACTGGCCAGGGCTCGGGTCTGTATTGCCCAGAGACAGATATAATAAGAGAGGAAAACATGCCTACTTCGTAGATGCAATTACAAAGTGAGGTTCTCTTTCTGCCTGGCATGGCTCTAAGTCCAAGAACTTTCAAAATGTCTAAAAATTCTTTGATACTTCTCCCAACAAGAGGTCAGATCCCTTCCCCTCCCCTTAAATCTGGGCAGGGTTGTCACTTTGCTCTTAACACAGAAGAAATGACACTATGTGACTTCTGTGGCTAGGTCACAGAACACAGTTTC